ATCTGGAAGTAAGGGTAGCGCTGTAGGGGATGGTAGGAGGCTCCTGGTCCTGGGTATGACCTAAAACTACACCCTTCTGGGAGTGGGTGGCCTGGTGGGGCTTCCAGTGGTGCAGGAGCCCCCAGGAAATGCCAGGCCAATTACTGCCCTGGTGAAAGGTGGGTTGGGGTGCCTTAACCCCTACCCCTCACCTTTGTGGGGGTTGCATTCCATTGGAGGTAGTTGTGGGGGTTGCATTCCATTGGAGGTAGTTGTGGGGGTGCAAGCCCTGAGGAGGAGAGTGGAGAGTTGGAGGCCAGGTGTGGCTGAGGCTGCCTGAGCCCCTCAGGGGTTTGAGACCGTGAGCTGGAGAGTTGGAGCCAGGCATGGCTATGGCTACCTGAGCCTCCCTGAGGAGGGAAGCCCTGAGATGCCCAACTAAAGGGGGCATAATGAACAGTGAGAAGCCCCCAGTGTGAGGGGGGGCAATGTGAGAAGCCCCCAGTGTAAGAGAGCTGAGTCCTGACCCCAGTAAGTTTTCTGATGTTGGGAGGCAGAGTTTAGGTTGAATATAACATCTGAGCCCCAGTTGTAGGGGGGGAGGGGGGACAGTGTGGAGAAGCCCCAGAGAGAGGGTGATGTGAAGCCCAGTGAAAGGAGAATGGGGGCTCAGCCAGAGAGAGTGAGAGCTGAGTCCTGACCCTGATAAGTCCTCCACTGTTGGGAGGCAGAGTGTGGGTCAAAGATAACACCGGTAGTAGCACTACGACCTGCTGCCCGGGGGCGTGAGAGTCCTTTGTGAGACCCTGAGGCACCAGTTGTGGTGTGAGGTACCCCAGCTCCCCACATCAGTGTAGGAGGACCCAGAGAGGGGGACTGTGGGAAAGGAGTATGGGTCATGCATCAAGGCCTGCCAGACCTTCCCCTGCCTGGCCCAGGCAGGGGCCAGGACTAGGAGGGTCCAAGAGCCAGGGGCTTGGGGTCTGGGTGGGCCAGGGCTAGTGTGAGCCAAAGCCCCTAGTGAGGGGACCACACCCAAAGAGGAGCCAATGGCAGGGAGATATGTGGCCCTGTATGATGGCAGCAGAGTCTGCCTGAAGGGAGGAACCTGGGTCCTACAGTAGGATTCTGGGCCCCATCGTGGGGGACTAGCGCATATGAGAACATCATGTCACTTGTGAGGCTTGGGCTGAGGTGTAGGGGAGGAATGGAGCTGCAGATGGCACCCCCTAGCAGTGGGGCAGAAAATGGGCAGCCTCCTGCTTTATTAACAACCTTATTAATCAATTAAGATCAAGCTGTGGCAGGTGAGAAAGCAGGTGGTTAGCCCAAAAACAGGTGGGCGAGCTACAAGGAGATCGGCCCCAGTAGGCTCCCTGTAACAGTCAGCATCTGATGAAGTGAACAATGCAGGAGACTTGACTATATACAATTTTGTGGTAATGGGGGACTACTTTCTTGCTTCAGACTTGCTCCCTGGTGTTTTGGTGGACAGCAAGCAAGACTAGTGGGGATCTGAACCCCAGGGTTCCTGGACTTGCATGCAGGATGTTGACCACAGATTTCTGGGAGTATCTGAAGCCCCAGACTGATAAGTCTGGGAAGGAGGATGCTTGCCCAGTGGTAGAGTTGCGTAGACTTGAACGACTGAGTTCTGCTGTCAAAAGTTGGAACTTGACTACTGGGTTTTGCCCGATAGAATTCGGAGCTGATTTGGCCTTTGAAATAAAAAGAGGAAAATTGGGCTCACAAGCTTATGCTATATATCTCTCTCCAATTTAGTTAGTCTATAAGCTGCAAATTTACCTGACGACTTACTCTCAGGCTAGGGACAGACATTCAAAAAGCCTGAGCCTGAATTGATTCAATCTTTGCAGGTTAGTTTAACCTGGCTAGGCTGAACCAGTTCATAACTGCACAGACATCCCCTCTGGACTAAAGAAATGCAGATGCATGCCTGCAGTGGCTCAGGCTAGAAGCTGAGAGGTGCTAGAGCAGCCTTCCCTTCCCTTCCACAGCACTGAGCTGAGGGGGTAGGGCATGGCCAGGCCCCAGCAGGGCCTCTGATTAGAGAGGGGTCTCCCCCACGCAACTTGCCGCTCCTGACCAGGGAGGGAGCCAGCAGGGAGTTACACAGGGAGTAACACAGCATTTAGAACCCCATCAAACCAAAACAAAAGCCTCTCTCATTAGTTCAAGCTCTTCCTCCAACTTCTTCCAAGGAAGGAATGGGGGGACATTACCAACTACCTGTTGATTTAGCTCCAAAAAGCCCTAAGTGGCCACTGTCCTCTCTGCTGTTGTCCCGTCTGCCTTACACAGACCCCTCTCAGCATTAGCTAGCATACCACATATTGGCTACATCCATGCTGTGGGAGGGGGTGGGGAGAATCCTTGGTTGAGCAGGGAGTGGGGTGGGGGAGCAGGAGGAAGCCAGGCAGATGCCACTGTGCCTGCAGTCTCTGCTGGAGCTCCAGCCAGGGAGCAGAGGGGTGGGGCCAGCCCTGCTCTGAAGCAGAACCCCACCCAGGGCTGCAAACTAAACCAGGAAGGGGTCTGGGACAGACATTGCATAAACCAGTTTGACCCAAATCCGTTAAGTCTGATGCTACATACAACCAGGTTTATCTCGAACCAGTTTCAGCCATTTTCAAACTGGCTCATGTGCACCAAACATCTGTTCTGTTACAGGTTTAAACTAGTTTCTGATCACTTAAACTGGCTTATGTATAATGTCTGTTCCTAGCCTCAGACTCCATGACAAGGGAGATGTACTTAGCCTGGTAAATTTTAACTCTGCCTGTTCCTTGTCTTCTCCCACTGACTGCACATACCTATCTACCCAGCATTGTCTTATCTCAAACCACATGAGTTGAGATCCATTGAGGCTATGCAGGAGAATAAGGAAGAACAGGATAGAAGGGGTGTTATTTCTCTTCTCAAACTTCTAGATGAGTTTGCAGTTTAGCAAAAAATATGACTCTTCAATAAGCCTTGAATTATTACTTTAAAAAAGTGAAATGTGGTCTGAAAGAAAATGAAGCAGAGTTTTTAGTGCGGGACAATGTACACTGTTGCCTACAGGGTCCCAAATCAGAAGTAGATTTACTGTTGCTTCAGGTGCATTTTTCCTGCTTAAGGTTCACATTTCAAACTATATAAAGAACCAAACTGCTCTGTGAAAATCAAATGGGGCATATATTGCCATTGGTAAAACTGACTCTTTCAGTATATGAATAGAAAAGAATGCATGACACTACTCTGATTTATTTAAATGGAAAACTGACATTTAATGGCTAGGTACAGAGAGTCAAAAAGCCTGAGACTGAATTGATTTAGTCTTTGCAAGTTAGTCTAAACAGCACAGATTAAACTGAAGCAGAAGTGAACAGACATTTACAGGAAATGCAGCCACATGCCTGCAGTGACTTAGAGCCAAGAGCTGGGGGGCACTAGAGCATGGCCTTCTGGCCCTGCTTTCAATTCCTCTTCCTGTTGTCCATGAAGTCTCTGGGATTTATCATTCAGAATGACAGCATCAGGACTCTGCTCATCACTTGCTCTTCCTGCTTCCAAGTGCCTCTGGGATTTGTAGTCCACAGTTGCAGCCAGCAGTAAGTTTGAGCAGGGAATGGGGTGTTTAACTACTCTCCCTGGCCCCAGACCCCAGCCAGAGTTTGCCTGGGTAGTAGTCCCTAGGGCTGTGCGAAGCTTCAGTCCCTGATTTGATTTGGTGGCCGAATCTCCAAATCCAAATCAAATTGGAGGACCCTTTAATCTCTCTGAATTGAATCAGAACCTTCAAATTGATTTGGAGAGATTCAGAAAGATTTGGCTATTTGGACATAGACACAGCTTTAAATGTTTTTTCTACATACTCTAAGTAGCAGGTGGCTCATGAATGCTGTGATGCTGGGGCACGTGGAGCATCCCACATAAGTATGGGGGGCTCCCTAGCACACTTGGTAGCAGACCCAGAAGTGAACCAGAAGCACTCCCTTTCCACTTCCAGGTCTGCCAGGGAGTGCACTGGGAGGCCCCCCATGTGCCCCACCCCCTAGCTTGATGACTAGTTCCTCCTGGGTCTGGGAGGGACACCTGAGGTCTGCCTACAGCTGATTGCTAAGCCAGGGGAGAGGGGACGGTGGGGGGGGGGGGCCTCCCCTTATGCTCCCTGGTGGACCTGGAAGTGGACCGGAAGTGTTTCCAGTCCACTTCTGGGTTCACTGCTGAGCACGTGGACTCTCCCACACTCCTGTGGGATGCTCCATATGCCCCAGCATCACAGCATTAGCAAGCCATGCTGGTACCTTGAGGTATGCAGGAAAAACATTTAAAACTGTATCTGTGTCCAAATCACTGATTCTCCGAATCCGCATTGAATCTCCGGATTCGGCTGAATTGAATCGGGGACAGTGACCCAAATCAACGAATCAAATCACTGTCCCTGATTTCAAGCCAAATACAAATTGAATAGGGCCTGCTTCACACACCTGTAGTAGTCCTTCCCCTACCGTCCTCCTCTCCTTTCCACCCTACACATATAGAATTATTTTAAATTGAACTTTCATGAACTGTCATTTTCTTTGTCATGGAAAACTGCTTGGAGAGTCTTAAATCAAAAGTATTCAAAATGCCATAAATTTTCAAGTCATGAAATGCATACGCAAA